GCGAAAACACACCCTTTTGTACGGAGTCGTTACCGCGCGTACGTCAGCGCAAATATTATTATTGCGGCCCGAGAGGGATGTTGGTTTTTTCAATTAAAAATCCGGCCGGAAGGGGAGCGGAGGAGCGGATGTATATAAGATGTTTCGGTTGTATTATGGCGTATAGGTATAAATCCCTGTAGGTAAAATTGATTTTTAACTTGGCTGGTGTTGGGTATTAGGAAGTTTTGTTGTTGCGAAAAATTTTCGGTTATCTGATTTCGTTTGGAAATACATGTTTGGATACTTTCGAAAACCTGTTTTGTTTAGTTTATTCGTAATACTAGGTGTGTATATATACAGAGTGTTATATAAAAAATAATAAAACTAAAACTAATCAATCGCTTACAGAATCTCTTTAACGTAGGTATAAACAACGTCCATAGTTACTCCATAACAACAATGTAAAACTGTCAAGTTAAAGTGATGCATGATTATTTCTGTTTTCTATAAATTTTATAAAAAAATTAATCAACTACCTTTTATCTACTTCTTTCGCATGATCTAACTATTATAGCCTCAACTATAAATGGACTATTCAACCAACATAACCTACATTTCGTTTTTATTATTCCTATTGCACAACAACTGTCAGCACCTGTCAAACGTCATTCTCAATTCCAATCTTAAACTTCAAAACTTTTAAGAAATTAGATAAAAAAAATACCTTATTCGTATGTAATATAAAGGATCCATGATTATTTCTGTTTTCTTAGTTTTATAAAAAATTCAATCAACTACCTTTTATCTACTTCTTTCGCATGATCTAACTATTATAACATCAACTATAAAAGGAACATTCAACCAACATAACCTACATTTCGTTTTTATTATTCCTATTGCACAACAACTGTCACCTGTCATTGTCAATTCCAATCTTAAGTTTGAAGTTAACTTCAAAACTTTCAAGAAATTATAAGATAAAAAAATACCTTATTCGTATATGTATAATATAAAGGAAAAGCGCGTGGTCGATTCTCGCCCCCCTCGGGGCCCCCGAGGCTCCCTTGACCTCTGACCCTACGTAGCATTGTTTTCGTCCTCGTGTCAGTTTGTTGGATATATGCTGTCTAGTGGTCCGACAGCCGAGCCCTCCTCGGGGCCTACTAGGATGTCCGTTATGCGGACGGCACGCCAAAAACAAAACACGTTCTAAAAGATCGAACTCTCGCCCGGCTCACGGCCAGAGGTGATGGAGCGAGAGAATTCGGTTTTGATTGTACATTACATATTACACAAACATTTATCCATATAGTATACAGATCTATGTTGGATTTGTTTGTATACATACCGATCGCTTCAATTCAGACCGCAACATGGTCGATTCTATGAGTTGAACAAAGAAATATTAATAAAATGACAGTTGTCAGAGTGAAAAGTTGCAATGACACAAATGTCACTCTTTCTTTTTCTTTTATAAGTGTTTAAAGGAAGTTTTCTTTGTCGCACCTATAGCTTATACTATGTTGCGATCGAGAATGAAGCATACAGGTTGATTCACTTTAGGTGAAGCACACAGGTTGATACAGGTTGATTCACTTTAGTTTGCAATATAGGCTATATGGGTGCGATAAAGACAACTTCCATTTGACAGTTATGAAGGATATAGAAAAAGTGATATTGTGTCATTGCAACTTTTCACTCTAACCACTGTTATTTTAATAATCTTTCTTTGTTTAACTCATAGAAATGACCAAATTGCATACTGAAATGCACCAGGATATGCATAGTAAAATAATTGGGATGTCAAGGAGATTTGATATCTATAGTTTTTCGTATAATTTTAACCACATATCGCTTTTGATCGATATTATAAATAATACAAACTCATTTCTCTCTACCTTTCCTCAAATGACGGAAATTATTTCAAAAAATTTCTTCAAACCGCTTCAATCTATCGCTTAAGCTTAAGCCCTTTTAATACCTTTATAATGTTTTCTGTGGAAATTCATCAGCGCGAGAACGCGTAAACTCGCCCATAAAATTCATGAGGAACGAACGAACGAGCGCGCTCGTAAAAAAAATTGAACGGATGAATAACGTTCTTTATATAAATCAAAATCGAGTGTCCGACGACCAGAAACGCATCTTTCAAAATGTCAGTCGGGTATACGTGTAGGTATAGCTCGCTTACGAAGCCGTTGCTCCGAGCTATATTCAATTTTCTTCGCCTATGTTTCGTTTCGTTTCTCTCGTACGATTATTCGAAATGTATTTTATTGTGGAAACAACGGGGACGGGACCGCGTTCTCTTCTGTCGTGTTTATGTGCTCAAATAACTTCTTCAATTCCGGTTTGGGCTTTAAATATTTAAATAGATATCTACATACAACGCGTATGTCTATTTTTACCTATATAAAAGGAGCTTTAACATACAGCTTTGCTAATTCTTTTTCCCTGATGAAAGAAAAACTTAATTCCTTGCACTTGTCAACCTACGAATTCAATTTTCTAGCCTGCTTTTATCTCAATAAGAGTTACTAATCTTCATCAGGAACTCCAGCGAAAGTTCTAATGGAAGTTTACCATTATTCTTCAATTTTCGTATATTCAAAAAAACATAAATATAAGCTACTATAAGCTTTAGCAAACACAACTTCTCGATTATCGATTGACTTTCCGTGTATATTACCTCCTGTTCGTTCCCTCCCATCCCATCGGCCGGGAACCCCCGAAAATTCGCTCGACTCCCGCTTTCCCCGGAACTTTCAACTCCACATGCACCAGTCGGGAGTTTGTTGTAGCGCATGATATGCCGTCGAACATGTGTAAGATTACGACGGAAAGATCGAGGGCGGCGTGCGTGCGTTTGTCGCTTGTTTTTGACACTTCGTCTGCTACCGACACGGCTCACTTGATGGGAAAATTGACCGCGATTAAGCCTTTATTGCACGGCCGTGCGCCGGACGGATGACTAATTTTTCGATTAATCGAGCGTCTTTGTGGAGCGCAGGACGCCTTTGCATGCGCTCCGCGATTTTTGCCATTTCATTTCAGTTGGAGGGGCGCTCGTACAGTTGCCCCACTCGCCCCAAATTAACTACCTTCTTTTTGTAATATGGTCAATTCTATGAGTTAAAATAACTTAAAATAACAGTTGTTAGAGCGAGAAAGAAAGGTGCAATTCGACAATATCACCCTTTCCTTTTCTTTTATACGAGACTAATGGAAGTTGTCTTTGTTGCACCCATACAGGGTGTTTCATAAGTTGATTTTTTAATTCAAAGCAACTTTTTCAAGTAATTTTTTTAATATTCTGGAAAAAAAGATGGAATTTTTTAAAATTTTATTAAATTTCGAATATTTTCCTTCCATTACGATACAGGTGTCAAAAAAATAATAAATAATTTGACAATTTTAAGCAGTTCCTTTAACTTTTAATGAATAGGGCCGTATTAACTAACTTATTAATAATTAAAAATTGAAAAAAAACGTGCTCTCCTATTTTCCAGATTAAAAAATTTTACTTAAAAAAGTTGCTTAGATCAATTAAAAGATCTATACACAGTTAAAAAAAGTAATAAAGAGACACCCTGTATATCATATTGCTTAAAAAATTGCACTTAACCGGTATAATAAATTACGTTATACTAGAAGTATTCATATAGTTTGTTCAAAAATATCTGTCGTGACGTCACCGGCTAATTATACTGAACGAGGTATAGCTAAGTAAAAGCTAAAAGTCGTTAATAGTAAAAATCATTTTTCATCAAACTTGGCGTTTTTGATGCGAGGTTCTCATGCATATTCGATGAGGTATTATAAAAAGAAAGGACGCGCTCGACCGTCGGGTCTGGTTCGTTTCTTTTTTTCCTTCGAATTACATTGTTTTAATGAGAATCCGATTTGTGTCGTTTGGAGAGGTTTAATTACAAGGGTTGTGATTATTGATTGGACGGCGTTAGATCTAATGGATGTTTAGTTTATTTTTTATTCGATGTTAAAATTTGTAATTTACATTTATTATGTAGAGAGGAAAGGTATAATAAAACCGCCCGTTGGACAGAACAGCTCGAAATGATTATGTCAAATATTTTATTATCTTCTTTATATTGCGGATAACCGAGCGTGTTTGTTATAAAGGTACTTTCGATTTGAGTCGGCGCATTTGTGCGTAGTTTTTTCTTCTATTTTCGTTAATATTTTGGTGAACCGCGAAAATCGTAAAACCACCATAAAACTACAAACTACCACTACCTTTTAAAGCGATAACCGCGCTGTTCCCGTTCAACCTTTACGAAATATTTATGTCCAGCCTTAAATAAAATCTTTCACCATTTTCTATACATGGTATATAGAGATTCTGGTCGCTTGTACAGCACCATCTTTTTGGCATCGATCGTAAACGAGTGTCCGCAATTCGAACGAATTTCAATTACGTTTTACATAATTCACTTTTCGGGACGGGGCCCGGCCGGATCGGGCCCGCGAAGACCGCGCTACGTGCGCTTCGCCCGCGGGGTCCTTCGTGCGTTGTCTCGCAGCGGGGCCGGTACTAATTGGGCACCGGACGGGCCCCCATGCGGCGTCGCGTACAAGACTAATAACGCACGTAAGGACGCGCTTTTTCTTTCTTCTTCTGCTTTCAAACGGTCTTTTTTTGGGTGTTATTTTCGGGTTTCGGGACCGAGCGAACGAGGTCGAAGTTACGACCAAACAATAAATAAATAAATAATGTGCGTGCGGGATGAATATTTATATACATCTTGCTCCATTTCCGATTGCAATATGGTCATTTCTATGAGTGGAACAAAGAAAGATTATTAAAATGACAGTTGTCAGAGTGAAAAGTTGCAATGACACAAATGTCACTCTTTCTTTTTCCTTTGTAAGTGTCTAATGGAAATTGTCTTTATCGCACCCATAGCATATATAACCTATGTTGCGATCAAAAATGGAGCAACCTGTATAATACTCATTCAATGAATGTTTTGTAATATTTTGTTTATTTTTTGTTGCAGAATCACTAATGGGATCAGCGTCGGAAGACGAAGAAGACGACGATAATAGTACCGCGTCGTCGGTTTTAAAACATCACCCTATACATAGTTCACTTCCACCAGCTCCTGGTGAAACGAATAACAACTCGCTACCTTCGGATATTTCTAGTTCAATAGGCCAGGTAGTTATTTTATTAATTAATATTTACCCTTACCTTTGATGAGTTTTCTAACGAAATATCATCAATCAAATAATCGCTTCACCACCTACATATCATTAGTATCTATAGAGGAAGTGCGCCGTATATGGACCAACATAAGCACTTTTCTCAATAAAAAGTCGAATTTTAAATTTGAGTCAGCTTTATTTATATTAAACAATTCCTTAACCATTTAGTTAAGAAAAACTCAATAAAATTCTCCAAAAAAACAAAATCTTTGAAATAAACACCATTTTCTAAAGCATATCATTTTTATGAACTTTTAGAGAGTGAACATAATATGGACCACATCAAGATTTTTCCATTTCTAGAATGTAATTGACTAATTCATCTTCCAATTCACTCGGTAATGTTGATTGTCTCCCAAGTTTTTGGGTGGTGATATCATCAAGTGATTTGTTTTGGGTGTATGTTTTGGAAGCATTCAAAAAGCCCATTTTCTTTTCTTGCGCATTTTTAATTGCCTTCCACCATTGCATTTTTTATCCCATACTTGTCTGATCTTCTCTATTGTTTTAGAAGCCAATCTAGAACATAAAAATTAATTTTTAGCCACTCCATATTTAAAACGTGCCACTGGTCCATATTGTGATACTTGCTCATTTGAAGAGTATTATTTTTTCCAGAAAATTGGAATATTATAGAATATTAAAACTTGATACAATTAATTGCAACATGACTCACCTTCGTCGTGGTCTTATCCACTTTCACATAAAATAGTATTTTTTGGATTAAAAAACTTCCAAAGTTCGCTAGAAAATTAGACCGCGCGTTGCAGAAAACTAAAAAAGGCTGTCGTAAATGTGTATTTGCAATCTGGATCACTGCAAGCGACTGTTGGGTCAAGGGATGAGTGATGCTTAGTGTTTGATGATCATTTAGTCGATATAAAGCACGTTCTTTGTAAAATAGCGGTGGTCCATATTATAGGACTGTCCATCCACTTACTCTACTATTAAAAACAACAAAATTAACATTTTTTCTTGGATTGGCGTATAGGATTCCAAAACGGGCCAAGACGATTCGGAGGACCAGAACTCGCTGGACGGCGATCCGGAGACGCGCGACTCGCAGACGGAGAACAAGAGCCCCGACGACAGCAGCGCCGGATCGAAGCGTCGCGGTCCCCGCACCACCATCAAGGCGAAGCAGCTGGAGATATTGAAGAACGCGTTCTCGCAGACGCCGAAGCCGACGCGGCACATCAGGGAACAGCTGGCCAAGGAGACCGGCCTGCCCATGAGGGTGATACAGGTTCGTTAAAAATACTCCCACATCATATAACCCCCCCATATGGTATTTTTTTCGGTGAATTATTGGCGAAGAATCAATCACTCGCCGGTTGTAAAATGGCAAAATTTATAATGTCTCTATTACAAGAATTTCTAAGCCCTTGATTTGGGTTGTGTACGTATACAGGGTGTTAATAAATAAGGAGTTTAATAGTATATACCTACCAATGGAAAAGTTTCTATGTTTTCTTGGAGCTTTAGGTTAGTGAACTAGGTTCTAGAGGAGCCGTTTGAAGAAGACTTCTGAGGATAATTACTAATATTCTTGGTTTGTGAGTTACTTTTTTTCAAAATATACGTCTAGAAAATGTCAAAATACTCGACAAAAAAGTATGATATTGCATCAGAATCAGCAATTCGGATAATCATTAACCAAAATCCGGCGCGCTCGTTTCCTTTGTAATATACTTCTCCATAATCCAAACGCGCTAATACTTACTTCTCTCTGCAGATTTAAAAGATGAAAAAAAAAGTAATAAAAAAATTCTTCAAGGACCTAAATATAGCCGGAACGTTCATTATCTCATTGCGTGCCGTAACATGCTCGAACGTCTATTTAGAATTTCTCATTACCGGCTCAATTTGCACCGTTGACAAACAAACCGAATTGGAATCGGTCGCCAAATGGGGCCGGCGAAACGCCGTCCGTCATCTGTCGTACGGCGCGCATTTTCGGTCACGGTGCATTCGAAATCCGATTCGAAAAGCGATCCGAGCGAAACGGAACGCTCGTTTCTGGAAATCGCCCGCGACGGGCGAGGTGTGGTCCGATATGTTCGGGTTTCCTTGCGCTTTTCTTTTTTCGGCTTTCCGGCTCTCGGGGGGCGCTAATTGACGCCTATATTTAGGTACTCTGTATATACCTAAATGATCACAGTGAGCTGGTTTTTGAGAGGTTTGCAACATTTGACAGGTGTGTCAAATTTAGTGACAGGAGTTGACATTTGGTTGACAGAAATGTTGACATTTCTTATTATGTATTTTTCAGTAGTACCTACTATCACAATTGCCTTGATTTTTAGTTTCAATTAACAGTTATCCAATTTTTTTGTCATTATCTACCAATTCAATAGGCGTTCATAATTCATTTTACAGTTAAGTGCCCATAATTAGGTGGCCCATTGGACTAGTAGGTACTTGTGAAATTGACAAACAAAAAAAAATTGATTAATAGCGGCCGAATTCCAGTGAAATAAAATTTCTGGTAAATTTTAATAACGCCGAAAAAAAAGGAAGAAGAAAAAGCTGACGAACAAAAACGCGGCGTGATTATTACCTCAGTGAGCCCCCCCACCGGCCAGAAAGGTCATTTTCACTAGAGAGATCCTTCTCAGTATTTCGGCCCGTCGTTTTTCAAATTTAGTAACGGCTTTCATCTGTTTTTATTAATTATTTCGGGATTTCTGTGGCGTTTGATGCGATTTTTGTGTTTTTTTTTTGTGGAGCATATACAGGGTATTCCAGAAAAGCTGGGGAAGAAATTCATTATTTTTAAGGGGGACAATTATTGTACTTTTTATTAAAGAAAATTTTGATTATACTATTTTATTATTTTTGCAAATACTGAGGTAATGTGTTTCCAACATTTATAAATTTTTCTGTAGAGGTAGATTCGAATTGAAAATAATCGACAATTTATAAGTCGATCTAGAACACAATAATAATCAATAGAAATTGAGTGCAATTAATTAGGCAATTTTATAGATATGTTTGGTTAAAAGTTTGTAAAATAATTTAGGTTTTGTGGAGGTCGCCGGTGAGGCGCAATTCTCATCATCAGTTTTTAAAATAATAATATGCGGATTCTCGGAAAATATGAATAAAATCGACGTTTACGAAGAAAAATAAGAGAAGAAAGGCGAAAAAAAAGGAGGAACGATTTTATTCGTATATACGGCCTTGCATATAGTATACGGGCATACGGGAATTTCTAAGCCGAGTCTCAGTTTTGAGGCGGTCATCGTAAACAACTCACTCGGGCAGTAAAACGCCAAGGCGGCCTTTTTCAGATATATAAATATTATTTTTAATATGTGTTTTACGGCCTTATAGATATTTTATATTTTTATATATTCAGGTGTTAAGATTTTTGTAGTTTATAGGCGGAACGTTTCAAAGACGGCTGAATGCATAAAAACGTCAATTTTTTATGTGACTGATATTCCTGGTTTTTTCTCCTTTTTTTTTGTTATTCTTATTATTATTATCGGTTTTGGTCTTTTGGAGTAGCTCTTACGCCATTTTACGACGCTATTTTTCCATAAATCACTCTAACCAAGTTTTTACAAGCCTACTAGGAAATGGAAACAAAACCTACACAGTTGGCTTGGAGGAATCTTCATAAACACATTAACTTATTAAACTGCTTTATAAGTTTTATAGTCAGAAGTAAATAAAAGCACACTACATATAAATCAAATCAATAAATGCGTGAACAATATTAAAATCGCGTAAACAAAAAAATGCGAAGCCAATTCTGAGGGGGCTTCCTTTGTGCGATACAAGTAACAGTTTCGTTCGAAACCCCTGTACGAAATTATTATCATTATGAATATTAGAGGGCGGTGCGGGCGCCCCCCCGGTAAATTGTTCGATTTGCCGTAACCTAGCGGCTGGTAATTTTCCAATTTTCCGCCACCACATGTCACCAAGAATGGTAATATAGCGAATAATAATGGCCTTTCGTTTCGAAGGGTGGCTGGTCGACCACCGCAGAAATAGTCGAAAATTTTATGACCCCAATCAAAAATTACATCTTTTGTGCTGCGATATGTTCTCGTACAGGAGATCCCGCGATGTTAAAGTTACTTTGAAATTGTATTTTCTGACAGATTGTGCGGTATTTATTATATACCAGGGTGTCCGAAAATAGTGTGCGAAAATTGAGGGGTAATTCTGCTTCAAAAAATTAAATGAAAAGAGTCTCTATACTTCCTTCTCTATAGTAAAATAAAAGACTCTATGAACTCTTTTTCCTGTAAATGTTTTGAAAGTTTTTTTACTAAATTCGCAAGATTGCAGTTTTCCTAAAGATTAGGTATAGGTAGGTACTATAACTTTTTCACTCCCACGAAAGAAGGGGAGGATATTTTTCTGTCCGTCCTGTATATTCACAACTCACCGATTTTTTATAGGTAATTTCACATATTAGAAAAAGCTAGATCGCCGAAGCGGTACCACAAAGAACCCGAAAGGGGCTGTTGAGTCCGCGGGTGGCATCAGAGCGGCAACTTTTCAGATCCTCATCCGTGCTATAACGCCTGTTAAAAACACAAATCTCGACGGCGATTAAACGATTAAACCAGAACCGAAAAAAAAAATACTTATTTACCTTCGTTTTATTTTCTTCAAAATACTTATATCTACATATATTAAGCATCCTCTACTATATTATATTATTTTTGTTTCTATTGGAAAGATAGGGAGAATTTGTTATAGTATAGTGTTTCCAAAATCAATTGAATATATTATTTTTTTTACTCAGTTTTATCATTTATATTGGATAAAAATATGTATACCTATATACTACATTTAATTGACTTTTAAATACTCTACTTACATGTGTTACTGTAATTCTAATTGAAATTACAAAGTAACTAATACTATAATTAATTGATTGCGGAACTCGACGACTTCTTTAGTTTCGCCTTTCATTAACGCCTATTGACTTTGTCGTCGCGCCGCAGAGCTTTTTTTGTCTTCGGCTCTTCGCCTGGCGATAAAAAGAGCCAAACGGACGGGATTGTTCCGCGTCGGGGAAAAAATAAAGCAAAATTCACGGCGCATTTAAATTACGCGTTCCGGACGATAAACCGGCCGCTATCTACAGCTATGATTAGATCGAAATTTATTCACCACTACAGTATAATACACTACAAGTAATTAGTTAATTTTGATTGTACACTAACTAGCAAATAATTAACAAATCAATGTTTATTTCAACAAATAAAATGTTTCAGGTGTGGTTCCAAAACAAGCGGTCGAAGGAGCGCCGCTTGAAGCAGCTCACGTCGATGGGCCGCGGCCCCTTCTTCGGCGGCTCCAGGAAAATGCGCGGCTTCCCCATGAACCTGTCGCCCGGCGGGCTGGAGGACGGCCCCCCGGGTTTCGCCTACTTCGCCGACGGGAAGTTCGAATTCGGCTACGGCGGGCCCCCCTTCCATCCGCACGACGGGCCCTTCTTCGGCGGACACCATCCGGGCGGCGGCCCCGGCGGGCAAGGCATGCCCTTCGGCCAAGGAGGTGAGAACAAATCAAACCAATTTATCATAATTTACTCGTGCTATGTCCCTTTTCATTGCAATTTTCTATTTTTTACACATTATCTTACGTGCACTATCCTATACATTCTATACAGCATTGTTTTACTGCAATATTTCACTACATTATCTTACTGTATTATATCACTGCACTGTCTTACTGCATTATTTCACTTTATTGTATATCACTGCATTATTTCACTGAATTACCTTGCTGCATTATCTTAATGTATTATTTCACTGCATTATATCACTGCATATCCTAATCAACAGATGCTAATAAATAAAACGATTAAAACCTTTTATTCGTTCATTACCTACACTATCTTTTACTGAGCTCTCGCTGGCATTATCTAATAATTTATCTAATTTGAAGAATTATCTTGTTTTGTTTACTGCATTATATTAGTTCATACTGAATTACCTTGCTGCATTATCTTACTGTATTGTATATCACTGCATTATCTTACTGTATTGTATATCACTGCATTATTTCACTGCATTATATCACTGCATATCCTAATCAACAGATGCTAATAAATAAAACGAATTAAACCTTTTATTCGTTCATTATCTACATTATCTATTCTTCTTTTATTGAGCTTTCGCTAGCATATTATCTAATAATTTATCTAATTTGACGAATTTTCTTGTTTTGTATTAGGTGGTCCGATGGACCATGGGCCGCTGCCGCTGGGCGCCGGAGACTTCGGCGGTCTGCCGAACGAGCAGGGCCAGTTCATGGGCCAGCAGGGCCCCGGGCCGGACATGATGCCGGGCAACGGGGGCAGCGGAGGCGGCCGGGGCGGCAGTCCCGAGTTCATGTCGCCCGGCAACTTCTCCGACAACCAGCAGCAGCTCAACGAGGGGCTGGTGTGGTAGCTGGCGAAAGCTCTGGCCAAACGGGCCAGAGAATAGTGACGGTTTTCCTTCCTTTTGTTCGTTTTGTAAATAGTAAATGTATATTGACGGGTGACGTGTTGACGGTTGACAGGTGACGAGTTTGACGGAATCGTCCGTTTTGATTGCGTTGTTTTTTTTTGGGCGTCGATTCGACTGGCTAGATTGTTCGTTAAGTTTTATTGATGTTGTTGTCGGAGGAAGATCCGAAATGGCTAGTGGAATTGACGTGGAAAAAAATTATTTTATTTATTTATCATCGTTTCGTCAGGATTTTTATCATTTCATTCGGCATGTTTTCAAATGAGGCACTACTTTTTTAAAGTATCGATTTTCTTTGAAGTCAAGTACTTTGAAGAAAAAAAAATGGCGCTTGAATAGTTTAAAAACGTAGAAAATCTCACACAATCTCTATACTTTTTTTAAAATGTAGTAATTTCCCAGCTCGTACATTATTTTGTGTTATTCCAAGGAAGATTCAATTAACTACTAACTACTGAGAAATGACATAAATGACAAGTGACATTTTATTATCTGTCACCACTAAGAAGTGTCATTATAAGTTATTACAAGCTGTAAAATATTCAGCCAGTTATAATAACCAAAAATAATCTTAGAAAACTGATGCTATAAATAATTTTTGGTTATTCGTCAACGAGTAAATTAATTGATAATCATCCTTAGTTTAATTATTAATTAATTAATATACCGTATCCATCAAATACAGGGTATATTATAATAATAACTATAAAATAAACGGGTTGTGAGTTACTAATTTTATCCCCTTCGGTTTATCATTTCCGACCACTCATTTTAGGCATTCTCGCGGTGATTTTACTGTAAATATTAATAAATAAAGGTGTACATAAATTGTACATAACAAAAAAATATATAGTAACATATTAAAATGATGTCGTTCGAACGTGCCGCTACGTTTCGAGCGCCATCTGTATCATTTGTAAATCGTCTCATTCGTAAATGAATTATCGCGATAATTGTCGTTTCTAAATCGTACTAAGAAAAAGTGCCAAGAACAATATTGTACAAGTCGATTTTTCCTGTTAAAAGTCGGCGTTAATTCCCTCCGATTTAGCACATCTGCTTATTTATTTCTTAACTTGGCAGCGTTGCATATAGTTGACCTAATTGGGTTAACAAATATGCTGTGTTGTGAAGTTGATTTATACTAATTTTGAATCTAGTAGATATTAATTGATAAAGGGAATTTTATGCAAGATCCCTTTTTTACTACGTACAATTTTCATTAATTACCACATTACCTTGCTTAATGAATTTAACGAGTTCGGGGAATTAACGCCTGCGAAATCGACGCGGATAAACGAGATTTTAAATGTAAAAAAATGATGTAATTGCTATTAAAATATTTATGTATGTGTGTCCAATAAAAAAAAACTGTCATCTAGTTGGCTTCGGAATGTCCTCACCGGAATCCCAAGCCGACTTTGACGATTTAGTTTGCGAAAATACGAAGGAAGAGATGCCCAGGCGGGGTGAAGTCTAGTTGAAAGCTTTAATTTCACCAATTTTAACTAAATTATCTTGCAATATAGAAGGGCGTTTACGAACAACGTGGTAGAAATTAATGGAATATATTGAGTGAAATTAGTTCTTTCTGCTTAAACTTGCACCGTCTAGGATACAAACGAAAGGAAAAAAATCTAAATGTAGTGCATATACGATCAATACACGGAGCAAAAATCGATGCATTTCATTTTTCTATTGCTGTATAAATATAAATGGTTGTCGAATGTAACTAGATATAAATATAAATAAAGCCTATAGCGAATAGGGTGCGTCGATTTTTGCTATTGATTCGAACGACATTCACTCTTGTACATACATTAAAATGTTAATAATTTCGTGCACATTTCTAACTATCATTGGTAAGATATATTTGTTCCTTGTTCTATTTTGTGTTCTTCTTGATTTTGTTCATATATGTTTCGTTATGTTCTTAGAAAAAAAATCATGCAGAATCTTGCCCAGTTATCGTACAAATTATTTGTACAAAAATCGAAAAGAAAAAAACAGCTGTATAAAGAAAGCCCCTCTATTGAATTAATGTAAATTGTTAATATTAGGTGTCCGAATATTAAATAATTCTTTAAATAATTTACTGGTTTTATTATCCCGTAAATATTCATCTAATGCGATGAAACATTGTTTAAAAATTCTACAGAAATCTATCAAGTAAACGAGACATCCCTCTCGAAAACTCATCAATTTCATCGACAATTCAAAAACTCATCAATCCTCCCGGAAACTCCATTTAGGTAATGCGACAGACACTTCGTTTGTCACATTATAATGTTAACCGCACGCAAACCTCATTAAAACAAACCATCCCTTCCGAAAAACAAACGTACAACGAGCGGGAATGCAATACTCCTATATGACGTCATCTGGTTCGATTGATCGCGTGATCGCAGTGACCTTTGCGTGACTGAACGAGGGAGACGCATCTTTAATGAACGCACCTGTCATTTTTTGACATGTTATCGGTCGCAGGAATCGATCTGCGGTGGCGGTGAAATGGAAATGAGCGGTTGAGATTAATCGATTATCTACGATGGTTGGGAAAAATGAGAAAAATTACTGTTGGAAAATGAAAAACGTCTTATACAGGGTAAGTTTTTTTCGATGTTTCGTAAAGAGATCCTGGAAACTGTAGGAGATAGAAAAAAGTTTAAATGAGAAATTAGTTTGGCAAAAAATGACACCTGTCAAAAGATCGTAAGAAAATTATTTTTTAATAAGACAAAAATAAAATATTCGCTACTAATAGGTACGCACAAACACTCCACTTTACTCTACTCAACATTTTTGAAATTTTTTGTATCTTCAGTTTTCTTTCTAGAACGAATAGTTTTCGAATAAAAATATGACATGTGACATTTTAACTCATTTTCAATATTTAGACCTCATATTCTAGTAGGCTGATAAAAGTCGCTCCACATTATTTAAATGTAATTCTCTTTTTTATGAGTTACCTATCTAAATAAGACTTTGATATTTCACAAATTTTAATTCTGAATGCCTGTAAGATTAAGAAGGATAAAACACTTTTCCCTGTTACGCTGTCTTAAATAAAAGTTTTGATCGCATGTGAAGGAAATAAAGAAATAACCTAAACCCCTAATAAGTTAGAGTTTGTTCATAATAATCTAATTAACCAATTAAAACGGTCTGTAATAAAAAAATAACGAGTCGATGTCGTGATAACCGACACATGTTATCGTTTATCGCCGCCTGAGATCTAACAAAACGGTACGAAATTACTCGAAATGCGCCCAAAATGTGACATTTATACCAATTAAATAAATCAACAGAAATTCGTTTCGGACCTACCTGTTCGATTATTACTCTATTTGCGTGCACGTTATACAGGATGTCTTCAAATTTATTTGTCACTAAGAGCCTCGTCACACTAGCGAAAACTGGTTGGTAAAAACCTCTTCTCGATGAAAATTTTAGTGGATAAAAAAAATATTGGTCTTCCTCGAAGTGGTTTGTCTAATCGGAAGCTGCGTTGGGATCGCTCAGGCCGGCGATTATCTTTTGACAAGTCAGAGATATATTGATTCCAAGCACTGTTATTAAAGCGTATTATAATCCGGGCGAGCCGTGGAAACGTACGCCGAAATTACCGGTCGAAAAATAGAAGGAAGAGAAAAAAAGACGAGATTGCCGATATTTTTCGGTTAAAGCGTAATTACGAACGGAATAGGAAAGGACGACGGTCGAAAAAAATCGAATTATCGATAATTTTCTAATGCAATTTCGTAATTATTAAATTATAAACACCGACCGTCTCGGACGAAATTACTCGTATGCGTTCGGAATACGGAATATCCATCAGATCGGACAGTTTATGATGATTAAGTGGAAAGAGTTCCGAGTAGGTTGTTACAACAAAAAAATCAAGTGGCCTTTTGTATCCCTAAAAATTGACGTTCGATGTCAATTTTAACACAGACTCTATTACAATCTTTTCTAATTAGTTGATTTTCACTTTTTAAATAATTTGAATACTTACATATTCCATATCACTTTTTCCGTTTAATTACAAATAGAAATATCCACAAACCACTAATAATTTTTTTGTAGTTTTTGACACAAATGTCATTACTGTCATTTCTGTCAATTTTGTTTCCAGATATATTTTGACGTGAAACAACTATGTAAAGGTAAGTAAAAAATCTGTGAATCGATTCAAATTATTTATTTATACAATTTAATTTTTAATCTACCATCTATACAACTAATCTTCGAATTGGAAAAGCTATTTTATCTATCATCTGTTCGTCGTGAAATAAATCTCGAATTGTTCTCGTACGCTGTTGCGAATTTTCGAAAAAACTGTTGGAATTTTCGAAAAAATCGTCACATTTTCGCGTAGGTACCTATACAATAAACTATGATAAATAATTAATAAATATATGTATAAAAAAATGAACACAGTTATTAATATTGATTAAAAAAAACAAACGAACGTTTCCGTGGATTACTCTAAAATTATATAAAAAAAACAAATGCAACTAGTATAAAATTTTCCTACATCATTACAATATAATTTTTGTTTTGTTTCGACAGTCTTAAAATCTTTAGAGACGTTTCCTAAATGCAATGTAAAAGAATATTCTCTTCTTTTTACTCATTTTCCCGTTTTTTACTAGCACGTAGGTGTATTATAGAATTAGAGATATTTGGTAGATACAAACTATGTTTATAAAAAATAATAAACATACTTATTTTTACAGTGATTGTGAACGTTTAGCACGAAGGTCGATTTTCCAGACTCTATCCTTATAACGAATTCAAATCCAATTTTCTATAAGAATCAAAAAAATCACAAGGCAAATACCGCGAAAATAACCCAAAATGGCTCTTAATCGAATTGGAATTCGTTAAAATCTCATCGTCAGGATATCGATCTTGCAGCTCTACAGTTTCAAGTAGGTACATAATAAATATGCGTTAAAAAAAGTGACAAACTAGAATAGGATTCCGAGATCATAGCAGGCTAAGCACGGCCAGCCGCGATCTAGCAACCCTAAACGAACGATTGTGGCGCCTTCCCGCGGCCGCCTAGTAAAACTCTAAGTACATACATCATTCGATTAAAATATCTATTATTTTTTATATATATTTACAACACACGTGGCGACGCGCCGGAAAAGCCACTCTTCTTTTACGGAATCTAGATGAATCATTGCATTTAAAATGAAATCAGTCGCTTTGTACAAAATCAATGTTCTTTTTCGTATCGAATTCAGTCTAAAAAAAATCCAAGGGCCAAAAGTCAGCGAAAATATTTAAAAGTTAAGTACTAGTCGGTCGGAGAAAATCTTTCCTGTAAGGTTTTGGTAGTTGTTTCGTTAATTTCAGATGGTTTTTAAATCCCTCGAAGAGATATTGTAAAGTTTTCTTTTCTTGATTGAAAGATTTTCGTCGTTCCGACTCGTTTCGAATGAGATCACGAGGAAAATTAACTAAACGAATCGATTATTAGGAAGTTAAAGAGTAGAACCGTCCCCTCTGTCAATGTAAATTTTCCGGGAATCGGTTTAAATTCATTTCCTATTTTAATGTACGTACAAAAATCAGTAAAACTAACTTATAAGTTAATAGAATGAAATTTACCGAAACTGCCAAGCGAGAATAAAATCCGACAGATGGCACTCAGTGAAGTCTGGATTGAAATTTGAAAAAAAATCTAATAAACCGTTTTGGGTGATTTTCGGGGAATCCCTATAAGAACTAAAACTCCGCGTTCACTACAAGATGATTTGAATATTTGCTAAATTATCTTTTTCTCTTTGAGAAAATATATACTTCAGGGCTGATCTCCCTTAGTTTTAGTTCTACGGGGACGTCATACAATAATGAAGAGACAATGAATTTATTTTAAAGTTAAATGAAATGCCTCTTTATGATTACATTTTTGTGGATGAACATTAAGAAAATCGTTGTTCACTGGGTATACAAGAGATATTGTATTGGCCTGATTGATACACTAGTTTCCTGAATAGTAAAAGACAACCCTACATCAACATTTACATTTAAAAGAAACTTAGTAATAAATAGATGTCTTTTCTATGAAATATGGCCATTTCAAAAAAAAAAGTTAGTTCATATAAAAAGTTCTACAAATAAAACTAAATTAGTAAAGAGACTAAAAAGTAAATGTAGGGTCGAACAATTTTGATTCATTAATTAAATGTGTTTTGTGAACAACGATAATTTTATGATCAAATCACCCTGTACATATCTAATTTCTGAACGACTTTCTTAAACAAATTTCAACATCATTTTCTCTACGATTTTAAAAGACACTGTGTGAGCTAATAACACTTTTTATTCGTTCGAAATAAACGCCAATTTTAAATTTTATCACAACGTACAACTGAACCGTTAATTTGGAATAGAACTGAAGATGTTACGCGAATTTGGATTAAAACTGGCGTTTGAAATAAACTTGTAAATCTGGAAGCTTCGTGTTCGGCTTTATAGTGAATACAATTCGGCTGTTATTTTTTATACTTTTCGTTTATCTACGTCTAAATAATCAACAAACGGCAGTGCATTTGGCAGTGAAGATTTGAAATTCGATAGAATCGATTGCGATCGGTAAATCGATTTTTCTCTCAACACATTACGCTTGAATCTCGTAAGATTATACAAACTACCATACGTACGATAAGTGCCTTTATTTTAGAATCAAAAATGATTTATAATCGATATTTGCCGTTCTCGGATAATTAACTTAACTTTTTCTAAGACTTAGCGGTCGTAGAAAAAGTACAGTAGAGTAATGCGTGTCCACCGAAAAGGATCACTGACGTTTAAGCGCGTTTTAGAACATAAAAAATTGCCGGGAATGTTACAAAAATGAATTAAAACACGTACTTACTTACGTATTAATCGTTTGTATATTATAAAAAGAATATTTTCGCGAACACACCGTGAAAAAATTAGAACTAAATAAGGAAGGAAGAAAATAATTTCGCTATTATTTTCTCGAACGAAAGCGGCCGATACGCGAGAATTAAAAAAAACTTCCTCCGATGAGCCGAAAACTTGAAATTTGAGCAAAATCGATTTATAAAAAATGAACACATGTTTTCTCACGACAATAACAAATGCAAACATTTAAATACCCTTCCGAATTGGCAACACCGTGAAAACTGTCAAATGACAAACGATACGTCACGTCACATTGGGTTGCTATGGTAACTTGTTGTCAAAACTGTCAATTTTTTGAGGTTATATTTACAAAATACGAATTTTGAAATAAAATTATTCAAATCAAAATATTCTCGCTACTTTTCTAATTCAATCAAATTTGTTATTGTTACATTTCCCGCGAATCGGAGGGAGTTTTCGAATCGAAGTAGAATAAAATTATAACTAAAATACCGAATCGGCAGCGCTTCGCTTTTTCGCGTCGTTTTCGTCATTTTAAATCTAAACTAACGTTAATGATTCGTCAACAAACTAATCAACCAGTTTTATACACAAAATGGCAGTGATTTCGGGCTGGTTGTTAAAAAAACGGAAAACAATGGTCAAAACCCCTTCAAAATCCGGTTTCTCTTCCAAAATATCGCATTTTTTTCCACTTAAACGTTACCTTTACTATACACATTTACGTAACCTAACTTTACAATAAGTGAAAGACTTTTCACGAATTTACACATCTTTACACGAGTCGTCGAAGAAAAATAAAACAATTATAAAAAAAAGGTGAAAATTGTCGAACCTTTGCACATCATAGAGACCTCCGATTCAATCGAAGTACAGTCCAAGTAAAAACCAAAAATGGCCAACGAGAAAATATTACAAAAAAAGACCTCGTAAATATTCGAAGCCGCCCCTGCAAAACAATCTACACAAAGCAAACAGCTATACATCATTTTTAAACCGTGTATTATCTACAAAATTATAATACTGTACATCAGTAAAAATAGGTTTGTTCGAATTAACAATACAAAAATCTCATTTGGAACAAACCTACACTACACTAAGAATAATCCAGGGCCGGCTTCAGGTGAAGTTGCGATACGAAATCCAACGTTATTGCTTAGAGTTTGTGCGCGTTTGAAATGCCAACGGTACTATTACTATTATTATTTTTTGAAAAATGGGTGAAACATAATTATATCACATTCGTTTTCTTTGGTTTTTACGTTGGCGATAAATCAGTACAATTTGTTTTTGACCATTTGAACGTTTCACAGCGATTGCGGCAGTTATTCGGTCTGTTCGATTTTATTCGCTCAATTTATGATTATTGGTTATTAAACTAACCCTTGTTACAAAGCATGAAGCATGAAGATTCAGTTGATTATTTCATCTATTTTGACAACCAATATAAGGTGGAAAACTCCGGAATTTTTGAACACAATCGACGCAGAAATTAACATAAATTATCCTAAGTAGTAGAAAAGCGGTTTACTTTACACTAACTGGTCTCTAAATTTCCGTAGAGATCATTTCGAAATAAGAATTTATACTAATCTAATATTAATTTAAGAAACAAAAATACTCACGTTGAGCGCTTTGCGTCAAATCCGACGCGATTTAACTAATTATTCGAACTAAATTCAACCTAAATAATATACAAAAAAATGGCATCAAAAAATTAAAATGACCACGATTTATTTGTACTCTTGTACTGTCACCATTAATTTAAATGTAAGTCTTTTTTTCAGTCTAACAAATGAACATACGGAGCACCACCCTGTATAATATTGGCTGTCAATACTAAATAATCATTACTTTGAAATTTAGTAAAAAAAGCTCTCCTTAATACAAAAAATTTGCAAGGAAACAAGAAAAAATATTTTTCTTCATTACCCCGAATTAATCAAATAATTATCCAATCGAGCAGCTCGAACAGGCCAGCGTATATTTCTCGTTTTTAAGTAAGTTTTTCGTTTTTTTCCCTAATATTTTTTTACAAACTATTTGTTACATACAAAGGCTCAAAAAACTAGTCTGGAAAAATATTCGAACATCGTTAAATAACTCTCTTTAAACAACGGTATATCACGTCCGCTTCGACATCGGTTTGCGTCTGTGCTTGCGTCGAGGCGTCGCAGGCGTCGCCGTCGACGTCGCGTCCGAAGCGCGCGGGAACAACGAGGGCCCGAGGGCGCTCTTCGAAGAGGGTTGCAGGCGAGGTATCGATACTACTCTAGTGGGTTTGTACTCTTTTTCCGGCACCCATTCGTCGGGGATTCTAAAAAATAAACACAAAATATATATTTATATCGCACCGGCTAAACCCCCGGAGTAATAAAACTTATCAAAATGGACCTCTCCACAGAGCGTTTCGTTGGGAAAGGGTAATATTTTCACCCTAATTGGAAGTGATTCGGGGGGGATGAGATGAACCCCTACATTATGAGAGCCATTTGTAACCGAGTTATAGGGTGTTTTTTGAATCTGGCTTCTAGTTAGGATGAAAATACATCACTTCACGATGAAACGTCATGATCCGTATTCAGCACTTTTGTTTCAAAGTTATAGGTACTAGATTAACTTGACAGTTGTAGATTGTTGTTATGGAGTAACTAATGGACATTGTTTACTTCAAATATACTCTTTAAACGATTGATTAGCGTTAAAAGAACCCTGAAAACGAACCCATGTATAACACACAAATTCTACTATCAAACACACTTATGGCTGAATGCATAAAACGTAAAAGGCCACATTCTGGTTACTTACATTGCACTTGTCACTCATTGTTTGCATTACTACAGCACTACTTGTTTTCTTCCATGGCTAAATCTAGTCCACTTTTCCCATTTTATGGGAGTAACTTATTTTTTATTGGATGAGAAACTTACATGTCAGGAGGGTGCCATTTCAACAGGTATTTGGTGCTGCCGTCGGTTTCGATCCGTTTGGCCAGGACTTGGCTGCTCAAATGGACGCCGTCGCCGGGCTCGTTGATGTTGCCCGAGGTCCTCTTCTGCGTCAGCAGGAGCAGCTTATACTGGAGCCCTTCCATGACGCCCGAGTCCAGGAAGTCGAACATACGGGCTACGGGTGCAAAAGAAACACGATTGAAGCTCGTTTCGCTTGGCATACTATGCAAAGAAACTGCTCAAATTGGTACTTAAGGCGCGAGAAAAGTGTCTGCTGGGGGACAAGGTATGAACAAAGTCTTGCCCTTCAGCAATCAGTTATAGCAGGAATGATTCGTTAATTGAACTATTGAGCAGTCGCTTTGGGGTGCGAATGAATGAATTAAAGATGTATAATACAAATCGACTAACTTAACAACACATCAGATATTGCATAAACAAAAACCACCACCATTATGAAATAGTAAAATCGTTATAATTACCTGACCATGGTTGCCTCCTGAACCTGATTTTTTTACCGTTCCTTTTGAACAACTTACTAACACCGTTTTCCGGTGATTTCTTGATATTGTTGTTCGGGCTGCCGTCGGAATTGAAATGGCTGTTCACGTGTCGCTCCAGCATTAGCTGAAAATTAGGATGATAATGAAAGAGTTTTCTATATTTTTACCGCAATGCACGAGCAAAAAGAAGCTTTCAAGTCGCGTAAAAACTTAATAAGTTAGAGCATGAACTCGCCAAAACGAGAATAAACTAAATGGGAGAGTTGAAGAGCGAAGTTTTGTTTGAAAAACGAAGTTTCTAGAACGAGCAGTTTGGGAATTAAGAGAAAGGAAACGTTTGTTTTCCATGGGAGATTTTTCATTTAGGTTTGTGAAATGCTCGTTTTTCGTTAATAAATTTGGACGATTTTAAGAAGGAAAGTTTATATTAATATATGTCCTAAACCTCTTAGTTTTCGATAAACTTTCCTTCTTATAATCACCCAAATATTCACATTCTGACGTATCGGCACTCAATTAATTAACACCCTGTATGTATCTGTTCAGAGGAATTTTCATGTAATTTACCTGAGTAGTGAACCTCTGCCCACAACCGTCGACTATACATCGAAAGGGCTTCGTGCCGGCGTGGGCCAGGACGTGTCGCTCCAGCCACGATCTCGAGCACGAATTTCTCCCGTAGACTTTGCACCCCGACCATAGGCACACGAAGTGTTCTTGACTCGATTGAGATATCACATGTTTCACCTGGAATCACCGAAACACCGTTATTTCTATTCTTTATTATTTTTTTTTACTACAAAATATTTCTATGAAATACTACAAAATACTACTTTTTACTACAAAATATTACTATAAAATATTGTGAGCTATTTATTGAGCCAAGTGTAGATTGCAGAGGGAGGGAGCCCTTTGTGTACAAAGGGACTTTTAAGTGTAAAAACCTCTTATATATCTAATGAGGTTTAAAAGAAATTTGCATAATGACAGGATTTATTTGCAGCAACCCGGAGAATTCTCGGAATTGGTTTGTAATTTATTCTACAGTAGCCATTGTAGTCCTTCCTGGTATTATTGATTGCTAATTAGATATTTACAAAAACTAGGGTCAGGTAGACCTTAATCTTGATGGTAATGGTATTTCTTATACATTAAATTTCCTAATACTTATTTCCAAAAATTAATATTATGTGAAAATGGTTCTAAAATTTACCGCATTCAATATACAGAAATAAATCAATATAAATTTTATATACGTAGATTGTTTATTCATGCAGTATTGAGGAGAAACGTGTACATTTATGATCATGCTCGGAGTACGAAATCTTGTTTTATTCATGCTACTAAATATTTCCACCGGCTTCTGTTTTGGTTCATCTCAAATTCATTGAGCAAAAATATTTATAATTTGAAAAAAAAAAACATTCTATTATCTTTAAAAATACGCAAAGACCTACACAGTACAAGACCATAATGTATCGACCGTAAACTTATCATGAAGAAGCTTTTAAATATCTTTTAAAGTTTTTAAAGGAAACTTAAGATAGGTTAGTTAGGATTACTGTTAAAATACTGCAATTAACCCAAATTTCTGTAGTAATTTGTTTTTTAAAGCTTTGATGTTACTCTACTTTATCTTTATATTCTACCATCTTGTAGATCTCAACGAGAGGAACTTGGTGATACTGATTATGCTCAATTATGACAAAAAATTTAAACTTTTTATCAAGTTATGGTATTTATCCAAAGAAATAGAATATAAAATTACCTGTAGATGTTCCAATAAGGCCCCGCTGGTATCAAAGCAACCAATACACTCTGCCCAACGACACACTCCATCGCCGACGTGCTGCGGCGTCTTCACTTCCTCCTTCTCAGCCTGCTTGGCCGGAAACCTAATCGTCTTAGGTTTGCTCAGAATCGGCGATCTCTGCTCCTCCACATCCACCCGTTCACTAACGTTCACTTGGATCGTTTCCGAGCACTCTTTGTTCGATATGCCACTGTCCGAATCGCTCAGACCCTTCGACTTGTCCATCTCGTCCGCGTGGATCATCTCCTTGCGCTCCTCCGTCCTGTGAGGTTCCTCGGTCCTGGACGACTTGTTGCGCGGGTCCTCCGAAGGGGAGGGGGCGTCGGCGGTGCCGGTGGGTTCGGCGTGCACCGCCGCCGGCGCCGCCGCCGTGGCCTCCGGCAGCCTCGTCTTGGCCGTCAGCACGGTGGGAATGGCGGTGTCGATGTTGAAGGCGGGCATGGCGGGAAACGTCATAGGCGTTGCGGCGGTACTAGGCATTTTGACTATAGGCACGACAGTTGTGTTCAATTTGACGCAGTTGAACGGCTGAATGACGTTGGCGATGGTCGCGTATTGTGGCACGAATATGGGCGTCTCGTTGGGCTTGGGGCCCTTGGTGTGTATGTAGGTGTAATTCGGCGGGAAGCTGAGCGCCGTCAGCGTCACCGTCGGCGTGAATTTCGCCAAATGGTTCAGCTGATCGCTGATGGTGAGCTTGTCGTTGACGTTGCTCGGCGCCGGAAGGATCTTCCTCGGCACGGACACCTTCTTGATCTTCGACTGGACGATTTTCTTCGGCATCGGCTTCTTGGCGTCCTTCTTCAAGCTGTCGAACTGCGTCTGTTGATCGATCAGCATCTTACCGGCCGGCGGCTGCTTGGCCGCGAACAGGTCGCGGCTCGCTTTGATCTGCGACTTGAAGTACTCGGTGATCTTGCCCTGCTGCAACCTCGGCGTCTGATGGTCCGCTCTGTTGCTCGCCTCTTCGATCTTCTTGAACCTGCCGGCACCGGCGTCGACGGTCGTCGTGGCGGCGCCGCGCGGCAGCGTCCGCACGATCTTGGCGAAGTTCGTCTCGAACGTTTTGGTCGGCCGCTTGCACGCCGGCCCTTCGTCGGCTGTCCAAGGCCACGGGGGATGGTGGGCGGTTTGCGTGGGTGGCATCTTAGCTGGCTGCGAGCCGGAGTCCTCCGAGTGGCTCGACGTCGTGCTGAACGGCGATCCCGGATCGGTGATGTCGCTGCTGCTGCACGACGTGCTGCTGCTGGCGCTGCAATCGGTGCAGCTCAGCACCGCCACTCCACTGGAAAAAAAAAACATAAAAAAAATTCATAAATATTTAAAACGCATCTAGATCTATCACAATTTTTACAAGGTGTACATGATCTTCATTCAAATGATTTGTGGGTGAGTAGGAGAGACTAAAATAAATATTAGTTCTTCACATAAAAGAACACTTCCTTTACTCATCTTAATATGGGAAGATACATTATCTTGTAGGTTATTGTAATTTCTGAATGAATCACAATTTAATTAGATAGTACAAGAAAATAAAATTTCCCAAATAGCTTCTTGTACTCTTCCACATTCTATTTCAACCAAATTAAGAAGAATCACACCATCAAATCGCATCTAAAACGATCAAATTCTGATGCACTAGGATACATGGAAATAACATGAACAATCTTTCAACACCAGATTTGTTAAATATTTCTAAATAAACTCGCGGCGCTTTCATCTTTCGGCAGCAAAAAATTCCCTTCGTATAATCTCCAACTCCGAGACAAACGAGGGAGTCGCGGCAACAGCGCGGGACGGAAGGATTGGTGCAGACGGAAAGAGAAGGAGGGCGATCGATGAGTAGTCGAAGGCGGTGGTGGTGGTGGTGGCGGTGCCGCGGTGGTGCCATCTGCGATGCGTTTATAGAAAATGATGGTTTTCATTGAACGGGTTCAGTCATGCACGAAGTCAGCTGGATAACTTAATACAATGACCTGTTGTTATTTAAATTGTTACGACATGCTCGCACTCGCTCTCGTAGATTTATTCGGTGTTTGGTTTTTTTTCTCTTCTTCTCGTCATCGTTGTTTGGGTTTGCTCGTGCAGTAAACGAGTAAAAAAATTAAGGAGATTCGCGTTCATCGGTATTGGTTTCGTTTTTATTTTGGAATATATCGAAGTGCTAGGAGTGGGCGTTGGGTCGTGGAAAGTGAAGGAATTAATGATATTGCGAATAATGTTTTGTTTAGGTACTTTATAGTCTTGTTTCCAGTGGGTTTTGATCAGCCTATTAATAGAGAAGCTAATCATTGGTGGCTCAAAAGAAACATTTCTTCATTCTAGCACCTCTACAAGTATTTAAATTTTTAAATTCCTCCAAAAAACTCGTGCTAAGCTAGACTTAGATCAAAAATAACAATCATGAAGTTGTATCTAATGAATTGGCAATTTAAAATTAGATTGAATTGATTTTAGAAACACTATAAGTTCGATTTTGTATACTTCAATGCTTATAGCCCAATGGCACTTTTATTGATTCAAAAACCAACATTTAATGAACCATTACAATAAATATTAAAACATAATTTACTCCCAATTGTTCACCTACCATTTTTAGTTACTAATTAAACCGGCTTAATTAAGAATCTTCCCGTAAACGATTAAATCCACACACACTCATACAAACGAACCACCGCAATTCCAATATCAAAGCCACATCAAAAACCGTCGTCGCGTCGTCAACAGCATTTTCGCGCTAAAAACCGCTCCGGACGAAAGAGAAAAAACGCAACAAAACGACAAAAAAAAACAATAAAACCCAGACGGTCGAATATCCGACTCGGGCTCACCCTACGAATTTCGAAAATACACTGACACGGCTGGCACACAGGCGAAAAGGGGCCCGAATTGTTTAAGGTTAGAGACCCCCCCGCGGGTCTCGGCCCGTCGGGATTCTAGTCCCAGACCCATTTACAGCGCACAATAAAAAGAACGGTCGACGATCAAAGTGTGCCTTTAGGTGGACCAGCGGCGCCCGGTTCTCCATTCCATTTGCACTGCCAAAGGGGATCCTTCTTATACCCCGGGGCTTCGTGAAATAAGTTTTCTAATAAACCAGCATAAAGCATAAGAATCTCTTCGTGGTCTATAGCTAGATTGTTGTTCTGTAACATAAGCCTTTGTTGTTCTTGATCAATCTTTGAGCCAGGTATAATTATTTTAGGAAGGCGAAAACCCCGTTGGAACGGCCGCCTCTGAATCGCGGCGCACGAAATCAGGTTTTCCCTGTTTGAAACTGCCCTACACCCCAAATCGTGCGGTCTCTCTTTCTCGTTCGCTCTCCCCTCGTTCATCGAAAGACAGTTTAGTTAGTTTAGTTTAGTAGGTCTAGTTGGCTTCGATACGTCACTCATAGCTGCCTTTTTTTCACACAGTACGTCATGACATAAAAAATACTCAACTGTAGGAAAATACCGTTAATTGCCTGTTGCAAATTGTTATTGTTTAATGGACAAAAAATGCTTTATTGCTGAAAATTAATCGTCAAAGGAATGTTGTCAGTTCATTCGGAATGGCTAACGCGATTTCTATTAGTCACGTACGGGCGAGTTTTCCGCCCCTTCATTAATACCTGTTGATTAATCAAAGAGACGACAGGGGGCAGGTGTACACCGAATTTAATTGCAACTTAACCGAATGTTGCGTAATTCAAGTCATCTGCGAATTTACGAGCCAAATACTTTCTCAAAAAATTTGTTAAATATTCGATATTAAGAGCTCTTTTTCAATAAAAGTTGCAGTACTTAGTGTACAAAAAAATGCATTTAATTGAGCCAGGAATGATTTTATAAATTCTATAACGATGAATATAATTAGCGAATAAATTATTCCGGTCGGCTATTTGCATAATCGAGCGTAATTAAGTAATAAAAAAATGAATTAACGGCGCATAAAACATCGGTTTAAATAAATAATTAGTTATATTAAGTAAAAACGTGTTATTATTTATTTATGTGCCGTGATATTCGATTCTTGTCGTATTTATCTAATAGATAGACTTTCCGAGATTTATACACAATATTATCAACTAAAGTCAAATGTAATTCCAACAATAAAACAGAAATCCTGTGAATTGGCCCTTTGCAGGTAAAATCTATTTTTACATTTCTAGGGAAATAATAAAATTTTAATGATATTTCCTCGGATTTTGTATTTACCATACTAAATGAGGGTTTATGATAAGGACTAAAGACGGGTGTATTTACATAGAGGCTTTTACCCCATGTTTCCTTATTTTATTAGCTTTCTCAGAATTTCACGTCCCATCCAACGGTCTCGTCTACAATTTTTTTTACAGGATGATTTGGCCTGTAAACATTACACAATGTTATTCTCAAAGGTTTTACGACTCTTTCCACACTTTCAAACTTTGTAAAATTTACTATAGGAGATGAAATGATATTTAATTTCCTGCTACCCTAAGTTTCAACCATGACTTGGTTCCCGCATTAACAATAAAACGCCCTGTATCTGAGAAAAGGTCGGCTTAACGGACACTCCTATATGCTTCCCGAATCTAGCCATAATGAATAACAATACAAACAAAAAAGACAATCAAAATTTCATTTAAACATCGTAAACTCGCGCACTCACGTAGTTAACACGAGAACTGGATAGTTCGGTGCAACAGGTTCAACGGACCTTAGCGAAGGTCATTTGTGTGCTCATAGGCCAGTCGATGGTCTTTTGACCGTTCCTTTTTTTCACCAACAACTGAAGGAAACAACAAAAAATGCATATACCCAAAAAATGTAATTCACCAAAAGAGTAGCTGTGGTTGAGTATCACGAAAGAAAAGCAGTGGACTGGTGGGACTAGTGAGAAAGACTTTCTTGTAAATACTCTCTAAATTCGAAATTCCTCTACTCTTTAAAGACTCTTCACAAGTCCCAAGAATATCAACTCTAGCTCAACTTTTCTTTACACTGAAAAAATTATTGTTCGTAATTTAAATCACAAGCTGTGATTAACCAGAAAAGATTGATTTTAATTACAAATTTCATCTATTTAATCAAACTGAGCATCACGTCAATTATTTTCACAGCATTGTTATAATTACAACGATGGTTATATTAATCACTTAAGCGTACCATTATTAATGTTTATAGAGATTAATGTAAAAATTTTATAATTAAAACAAGGATTTTAAATATTGTAGTAATGTTTTTGATAATTAACCTCGAAAGAATAACTTAATCACATCTAGGCATAGTATTGATGAATAATGAGATCAAACAAAAAAGAAATTAAATAAAATCCAGTTTCAAAGTAATCATACCAATTACTTGTTAGATTGAATTAATGTTAATTTTCATCACATACTATAATAATACTCAAAATAGTAACGACAATTACTTTGAATGATTGATTCAATTGACTGTCTTAGATAGTGCATGTAAAGTAAGTACAATGCATGGCTCTGAAATTGCGCCCTGCCTTAAATCAGCGCTTTGAGAGTATATGCAGGTCGAGCAATAACGAGTTGAATTCGGAAACACTGAATGACTGAATTGAATTCTAAATTTCCAAAAAAATCGACTCGACTGTGCAGATTCGTAGCGATTGCCAGCTTGAAAATATACCAGCTTGAAATAGTTGGTAGGACCCATTTTACAAGGACTGATTTAAGACAAGGCGTGATTTCAGAGCCCTGCAATATACATACCTATACCTACTATATTTAGAAAATATCAAATATACAAATATAAAATATTTTTTTAATTTTTGGAATTAATCAAAAAAATGAATTTTAAATGCCGGTGTAATCCGAACAATTACTAATGTGATTAAAATATGCCGTTTCCCGTGCGTTTCTCAAAATAGTCAAAATTTCAATCACCCGGCTAATTGAAATGAAGTCTTTGAAGTATAATATTATTTGATGCCGTTTCCAATAGCTTCGTTTCCCGCGCGTTTCATCATAAAATAGTCAAAATATCAATCACCCGGCTAATTGAAATGAAAAGTCTTCCAACTATTGTTGTCGGCTCTCCCAAAAAATTCTGAGACATGTTTGTATCAGCAGCGCTGTTTGCGCTCCCGTTATACCATTCGCATTAGTTGTTTCCTAATTAGAAATTAAAATTGGCAACACCTTATTATCCCGCGAAGACGTGAAGGTCAACTATTTTGTCTCTGGGGCTGGGGAGGCGGCCAGCGGCCGTTATTACATTATAGTTGATTTTACAGAAGCCGTTTGCCGGTCACGTTGTCGGTTAGCCTATTAATCTATTATTGAATTTGTGCTTGTGTTTGGACTATCTAAAATATTTCAAGTGGCATTAATGACTAATTTTCAGGTAAGTCGAAATCTTTTTTCAATAACCTGGCAGAATTCTTTTCGAGTTTCGAGCTTCTGTGACTGTTTAATCCCTTAATATAGGGTAAATAGTTTTACCCTAATTAAACACATATAGAGCATAGTTTTGAACTCAGCTTCTACACAGCAATTAAGTATACAGAGTGTTAGATCGAGCGCGGAGCAATCTCGCTACGAGATAGCCAATACAAAATTCATTAGCGAAACAGAAACAGAATTAAAAACAGGATGGAATCCTGTTAGCTGGCCCTGAAAGGTCCACATCGCGTCAGTTGTCAGAGTCATCTCGAGTTTCGCCTTACCCATCAAGATGTTCAACACCAGATTCTGAACCAATACGTGTACTATTGTCCGATATTCTTAATGAATCGGCAAAGGCTAAAGTATTAGTAGAATACTATAATAAGTTCCAAATATTTAAAGAAGAACAAAGAAACTCTTTAATAAATGTGGTAGCTCATTATTTTGAAGATAAGGGCATTACCATGTCTTTAGCAGCCAGCTTTGCGATAGAGAGGGACATTATCGAAAAATTCCCGACTGAGAAACTTGTAAGTTTACTATTTACATATTTTTGCTAATTTTGGTACCTTTTTTACCTACTGTCATGCCCTTATTATTTAACAACTATTTCTTTTTTAGGATTATTACAGAACAACCAAACGTGGTAAAATATATAACAAATGGCGTAATTTAAACTCACATTTTAAATGTACGATGACTGAAATAAAACCAAAACCAATTAAAGGACATAAAGTACAACGCTATCAGGAAGAAATTGGTGGTAATAAATGAAATTTCTTAGTATCCGTTTTTCTTATACATATAATGTGTTAATTTTAGAACCAGAGCAGGATGCTGAAACCTGCATAAGCACTTTAAAATATAGTCATTTATCTTCTGACGAATTTGACAGTGTGTGGAAAGCCTGCAGCAATTTCAGGTTGCAGCAAATTATAACCCTGGAAACAACAACTGCTGTACTGGACGCATGGCCTTTCTACCGACAACCTTCTGGATTTCGTTTGGTATAACTTAATAATACAATTTTAAACTACGTACTTATTGATAATTTATTATATAGTTATTATATATAGTTATTATATATAGTTATTATATAGTTTTTTTTGTATTTTGCATTAATCATTTTCCTGTCTTTAAACCTGTCCTAATAAAGCTTGTCTAATAAAACAGATATCTCCTAAAATTTGTTCTAACAAGCTAATGGATATCTATTTATTACGAAGTAGAACAGAGAGCTAATATTGTGAATAAGGTAAGTCTATCATATTCCACGATGAATATTAAATAACAATCGTCCTTAAATAGAAAATGTGGATTGAATTGTTGATTTTGATTGTTTAATACTAGCAGATACTGGATTTTATTAATATAATAAGCTACTGATTCAATCACAAATATTAATGAAAATGTTACAGGGGCAGCTCGCATCTCAAAAAATAGGGAGTGCTTAGTTAATATGAGATAGGTAACTGATGAACTGATAACTGATAGATGTCACCACATACGCCATAATTAACATATTTATTTATCATATTTTGATATCAGCATTGCACAATTACAATATTAACACATATCAAAGAACTACCATTATAGTACATACAGACAAGTATAGACAAAAACAGACAAGTACAGACTAGAATAGATAAGTATATACAGACAAGTACAGACAAGTTTCTATCAGTACGGCGCCTGCGTATATAACCCTCAATTTAGTTACAATAATGATTGGGTGGTGGTTAGCAAATATTAATTTTAGCATTTTTTATTATGATTAATTTAATGAACAAAATGATTACATTGATACCATCGATGATTATATAGTGGTCCGCGGAGATTTGTTTTATTATTTTATTCTAATTAAATTAATAAACATAGTGATTGGATTGATACCAACGATGATCAATTCCATTACTTTATGCTCATTAAATTATAAAATACTATGATTGGACTGATATCAATGATGATCATTTAGTGGCCTACAGAGATCAATTTTATCATTTTATACTGATTAAATTGATAAACAATTTGATTAGATTTATCTCTATTACTAATCACTTACCGGTTTGTAGAGATTAAAATTGATGTCAATATATAAAAGAAATTAATAAATTTATGTGATTGTGTCAATGCTTTGTGATTAGTCAATTACAGGCAACTGATTGCTTCAATCTCGTTGCGTATCGGCTGAGTTTTGATAATCAGAATCATTGATTCAATCCACTTTTTAATTGTATAATGGCTAATTTTTCGTTCAGTGTAACAATATTTACCCAGTTCCAACTGGAAATGATATCTTACTGTTTATCGCTCATCTCAAAATGAACTATAAAGGAAATTGCGCGTAATTTCTCCTTTTTGGGTTACCTACACCTTGCGAGTGGGTTTTGGCGCATCCGTGCAGTTTGTATGAGAAAAATAGACACGGACCCAAGGAGGTTTTGAAAGAGGTGTTTGCGGTCGTAACCCTTTTTCGAACTCCTAAAATAACCGGTTTTAATTCGCAGTAACGGCCCGCAGGAAATCGTTAAAGTTGAGGTAGATGCGTCTGTCTAAGGTATTTTTCGTATCCCATTAATAAGGTAAGAGGATAGCGAAAAAAGAATCGTTGGCGAAATTCCTCGCCGAAAGACGACACTCCTTCGTCTGAGGCCGGGTTTTAGATGCAGCTATTTCGTATATCCTTTGCATTCGGCCAATTACAAGAAATATCATTGCAAAATATCTGTTTAGAGCGCTTCGGATACTCTAAAAACAGCGCTACATAGTTGGCTAAATATACCTCAAGGCGTGAAATAGAAAATTACAAAAATTACGAAATCGAAAACTTTTGTTGATTATTTATTATTTACCGAGCAATTACGTAACACTCCGTAACCGTTTTAATTGACTACATACTCACGAAGATAAATCGGAATTAAAAATTATTTAATTGCGATTTTACGAGCGTTTACAACCATGCAATAACATGTTTTATTGTTCACTGTAAACATTCAGTTTTTTCAGAATTATCCTTTAAGTTCTGCTCGAAACAAATATGTCACAACTAGAATTTAGGATGAACTTATCAATTAATAATTAGATGAATTAAAAAAGATAATCTAAGATGATATGCGAATAAAAAAAGACTAAATAGGGAGAGAGATCATTTAGAAAGGGCATGTTAAAAAATTGTGACCCATTTATTTTCATCACTCAACCGTTCAATTAGCGCAATAGCCAACAAAAAAAAATATCCCCAAATCCCAAACTCAAAACGTCGATCCGGCAACGCCGCGCCGGTTTCGTAATAGGAAATCGGACGTCAACAAAACATCAAAATAGTTTCGGCAGTCGGCAGGTCCACTAACCCAAAACGACGAGCGCTATGTAGGCGCTCGGGCATCGGCGGCGAGCCGGGCGCAGAGGGGGCCCTAGTGAAAAGGCGGGGGGGCGAGAGGGGCGCCGTCGCCGCCGCAGCGCCGCGAGGTGAATGCACCAATCAAGGACGCCGATGGGCAGAGCTGAAGCGAGACAGAGAGTTCAAGTTCGGCGGTTCCTTTTCGTTTCGTTCTGTTGCCGATATCGCATCGATATCTGCCATTTGGGGATATTTACTTTTTTTTATTATGTCAGCCTTAATAAAGTTATAAAGCAACCCTAAAAGGTGACCCTTTATAAAATCATGAAACTATTTATACTTTCTGAAATTGTAGACTAAAAGGAAGAATGAAAATTAAAGGGCATTTTTGTTATCAGAAATAATATCATTTTAACTAAAGAGTTAATTAAAAGGGGTGAAATTTACACCCTTATTCAATATATCATTACATAGATCTAGTTCGCAAAAATGCGCATTGAATTCAGTAATGTATTTAGCGACATTTTTATTTTTCGTGAAATATTTTCTGGATTTGCAAACAAGGTAAACATGGCAACGCTGTACTAAAGAGCTCTTCTCTTTCGTTAGAATTACTGTTCTCTGTATGCAGTGCATGCATAAAAGAAATCGTAGGAGTGCACCCAAGGTAGAAGAAATAGTAAAAAAAGGGCTCTTTCTAACTCAATTTAAATTAATTTTTACATTAATTAGAGTAAAATTGGTCGAAATATAGGACACTTTCTTTTCCTTTCCTCTTATTATCTTCTTTCTCTGTTAATGTATGTATTTTTGTCACTAATCTTATCTAAAATACGATAAAACATTTACTTATCGAGAAAAAGAGTTCAAAATTCATCCGGAAACCAATTAAATTATTAATTCAAATCGATACTTCGTTGGTGTCTATGAATATTTATTGGAAATTCGATAATTTTACGTCAATTAAAATTTTTAAAAAGTGATTTATTATACTTAACGTTAAGTACCTAATCATAATTGTAGATAACTCTAATCGGTGGAACATAAATTAACTGTGATAATTAAAATTGACTAACAATTTTTTGAGACTGGTCAGTTTTCTACTGAATAACGATGATTTGATTAATCGAATTAATTAAACACAGGTCGATTAAATTAATAGAATATTGATTAGGTAATTAAATTTAATTTAGTTTAGGAAATCCCTATATAACCTACATTTTTATCTCATAAAAAATGTTTTCCGTTTCCTTTTTATTAACATTCAAATGTAGAACTTCCGATATGCAATTAGCTAGCGTGCTTTATTGTGAACGATAATCAACCCTTAATTAACGCTCTGTTAAATATTCGTACAGGTTGACACCTCACGTTGCCAAGTATTCACAAACTAAGAAATTTCCCAATGGTACCTACAATGCATATATGCACCGATTCGGCAACGTCGCGTAAAGAGTAAAATACCCGTTATGCGTGGATTAACGCACGTGAGATAGCGATCTGGCAATGATTATGAATTTCACGGTAAAATAAATACCAGTAGCAGTGTGTGTGTGTTACCTGAAAATCGACATAAAAAATGCGAAACGAGCGGTGATTTTTTTTTCACTCGGTCGCTGTTTACGCGAGGAAATTTCGATTAATTATCCGATTGAATTGGGAAAACAAGAAACAATTTCCGGAATAATTTCCAATCGCGTTCCGTGTCGATGTCCATTCGCAGTGGACGTCTCACGCAGATATTTTATTCAGTCGTTTACCGGCTGCAGTACTTGGAACAAGTGCGAGAAAGGTCGATAGACACGTGGGAATTCGGCCGCAGGCGAATTAAAGCGAGGAAGTCCCGGAATTATTTATACAAAGTGAAAAAATTATTAATTGTTTCATCAAAAATTATTGTGAAAGATTTGTCTATATGAAATTAAAGTGAATTTAGACGAATACAAAGTTGGAACTACTCCACGTACATTAAGAGCACTCGAAAATAGTCAAAATCAAATTAAACTGACGTGAATATTTTACATTCTAGGATTTAGGCTGCACGCATCTATTTTTAAACGCCTAGCATATCTTACGTTAGAATCACCGCAAAGATTTATTTATAAAACATCCTGTATGTTATTTATTATTTTAGTAATAAATGTGCTCATTCAGAGCTTGTAAAACATTACAATCTCTATTTTCATTGTTTTCAATAAAACGCCACACTTTTGGATATCATTGCCTTTTCGACGAACGAAATTTTACTTACTGCACAAGTTAATGGATGTTAAAATTACGAACCTGAAACAAAAATTTGGAATTAGTTCTAGATTCAATAATATTAATCGATTTAAACTAATTCGATTCATAAACTTCACCTATTGGCTCTACCTTTAACCGTGTTAAAAACAACCAGAGAAAAAAAACATTTTAATTGGCGCTAGATTCAATTAAAAATCGTTCATATTTAATAAAACTCGAACGCAGACTTCGGAAGCAATTAAACCATCGAAGGCGCCGTCGCTCCAGCGAATTCACAAAGCGCAGAGGAGGCTGCGATAACTGGTGCACGTAAAAACTTGACAAGCAAAACGGTACTTGCGCATGTTAAGTTTATACGGGCGGAATTAAATTCTCGAAACGTCGCCGTCGCGTCGTCTGGTCGAATCTACATAGCATGTAGATCTATTT